ATATATATATATATATATTTATTTATACATCAGAGTCAGAGTCAAAGTTTCTTTATTGTCATTCGCATCTCATGTGGTACATGTGGTGGAGCGAAATTATGTACACAGGGTCCCAGTTACATCCCACAATAAAATGTATAAGAAAAACAGTAATAACATCTAAGATATGAACTAAGAAAAACATCAACTAAATATACACTAAGCACTCATAACATAAAACATTGAACATCAGCACAAACATGAACATGAGTCTGTGAGCAGATGTGCACGCATGAACACATCAACATTGAAACAGATCAGCAGCAACATGAAACAGATCAGCAGCAACATGATATGGTTTTTCACAGTGATTATTCTAGTTAGAGATTCATGAGTCTAACAGCCTCAGGGTAGAAGCTGTTCCTCAGTCTAGTGGTTCTACACTTAATGCTCCTTAACCTCCTTCCTGAGGGGAGTGGGGCAAAAAGTGTGTGTGCTGGGTGGGTGGGGTCCTTCATGATGCAGGTGGCCCTCTTCCTGCATCTGGAGGTGTAGATGTCTGTGATGGTGGGGAGACTGATTCCAACAGATTTCTGTGCAGCCTTCACCACTCTCTGCAAAGCTTTTCTTTCTGCAGCTGTGCAGCTGTACAGCCAGAAAGACATGTTTACAGAAAACTCCGGGTCGTCGTAACCGCCAGACGGGCCAAGTCTTTCAGTAAGAACCTCCCGGAGGCTCATCGTTACATTCCTATGAAGCACATCACCTCCTACAGCACAAGGCCTGGTTTGCACAGATAAGCTGCATATAAAATGAGTATAAAATAAGTATAAATTGACATAAAATCATCAAAATAATCATTCTTATATCAGAGAAGGATCTGGGTACTGAAATGTCCAGCCTGCAGTCCAGATCTTTCACCTATAGAGAACATTTGGCGCATCATAAAGAGGAAGGTGCGACAAAGAAGGCCCAAGACGATTGAACAGTTAGAGGCCTGTATTAGACATGAATGGGAGAGCATTCCTATTTCTAAATTTGAGAAACTGGTCTCCTCTGTCCCCAGACGTCTGAGTGTTGTAAGAAGAAGGGGGGATGCCACACAGTGGTAAAAATGGACTTGTCCCAACTTTTTTGGGATTTGTTGATGCCATGAAATTTGGAAACAACA